CAACTCTGATAACAATGTCGTGCAACTCGTCGTGCCTATTCTGACAAAAACGTCGTGCCTATTCTGACAAAAACGTCGTGCCTATTCTGACAAAAACGTCGTCCCTATTCTGACAACAACGTCGCGTGCAACTCTGACAACAACGTCGTTCAACTCGTCGTGCCTATTCTGACAACAACGTCGGGCCTACTCTGACAAAAACGTCGTGCCTATTCTGACAAAAACGTCGTCCCTATTCTGACAACAACGGCGCGTGCAACTCTGACAACAACGTCGGTCAACTCGTCGTGCCTATTCTGACAACAACGTCGGGCAACTCGTCGTGCCTATTTTCTGACTATAATGGAATGGCCGTGCTTTTGTCAGAGTTGCAGGACGTTGTTGTCAGAGTTGCACAGGACGTTGTTGTCAGAATATTAGGCACGGCGAGTTGCACGACGTGCCTATTTTCTGTCTACAATGATAATGGAATGGTGGTGCTTTTGTGAGAGTTGCACGACCTGCCACGACGACGTGGCAGTGGAATGGGTCTACCGGGTATGCTTAACTTCGGTGTGGATCGCTGAGTCCGACCCATTGGTCTTGTGACCATAATGGAATGGTCGACGTGCGATCGGTGGTGTGGATCGCTGAGGCATTGGTCGTGCTTTCAGCGAGTGTGGATCGCTGAGCCATTGGTCTCGTGTGACTGTAATGGAATGGTCGTGTGTTTGTCAGAGTTGCACTACGTGGCACTGGAATGGGTCTACCAGGTATTCTTAACTTTCGTATCCATTATTATTATTAGTATATATAGTTTTGAAAAGTTTTATGAAAAATTTTGGCGTTTTCTTTTGGTCGACGAAGGTAGGTGTGTTTCTTTAAATCCTTGTGGATCGGTGTTTTTGTTTGTATCTATGGTTGATTAACAATATTGATGATTTTTTTTATTTTTTATTTTTTTACGCTGGGACCTTCCCTGGTCCTTGCACGGGCTGGCCATCGGTGACCCGGGCGGCCCGGCTGGTAGCCTAGTAGTTTTATGAAAATTTTTGGCGTTTTTTTTTGGTCAACGAGGGTAGGTGTGTTTCTTTAAATCCTTGTGGATCGGTGTTTTTGTTTGTATCTATGGTTGATTAACAATATTGATGACGCATAGGGCCCCGCTCCACTACAGGAACACTCTCTATGCATCTCGTGCTCATAAACGTCCCGATACACTCCAAATGTTGGACGACTCGAAACTCACGCACCAGGTCGACAAAGGAGTCCAAATGCATAAAGAGTGTTGAGTAGTGGAGCGAGGCCCATAGTTGATGAAGTGCACTGCGCTACTCTCGACGTTGTTGTTACACTTGAACAAACTGCTGTCATTAAAAAAAAAAAAAAAAAAAAAAGTTTGCCTTCCTCTTTCCTGTCCCCTTCCTCTCCGTTTTTGCCACCTTGGACTCTCGTCCGTTTCCCCCCCCCTCTTCGCCTCTGTTGGGCCACGGCGTCGCGCGTCGCTTTTTAACTCTCCAAATGTGTAAAGTGAGACTGAATCTTCCGCTAGAACATGGAAGATACATTGCCATCTTTTTTGTCTTTTGTGCATGTGGAGAGTAGTGCAGCGAGGCCCACCGCCGCGGCGCGACCACTTGTTCAATAATGTAATGGGATTGTCTTTTATGTTTTTTTTGCCGTTGGTGGTGTCCCAGTATTTTAGTTTAGACCAGCGAAGCATCAGAAAGAGGGAAGTACTAGTCAGAATCGTCAGAAAGTGTTAAATCTGAGCGAAGTATGAGTTCTTCTGCAGTCCTCGAGCCCTGATGGCTGTAAGCGAAACCGGTTAAAAAAAAAAAAAAGCGAAACCGGCTAAGGCTGCCTGCAGTGCCGGGATAACTCCGGGGGTTGAATTGTGAGGTTCCCGGCCTCTAATTGAAGCTTTTCTTTGAAATGAAACGTCGAATTCTTACAAAAAAAGAAAGAAAAGAGAGGAAAAAAAAGAAAAAAAAGAAAAAAAAGAAAAAGAAAGACGGAAGCGATACCAGTTCTTGCCACAAATAACAATAACAAATGGCAAAGGAGTCTTGGAGTTGACGCAGAATCGAGAGTCGCTGGCGAGGTTTTGAACAGGGGGGGAGGTGTAATAAGAAAAAAAAAAAATCGATTTCTTTCTGTTTTTTTTTTTCGCTTTTGCGCTCTGATATGTGTGTGCGATTGTACCTTGTACATGAGTACACAAGCTTTTTGTACTTGTGTCTTCGACTATTGTCTTTGATACTGTGTGACTTGCTTGTGTGTTACTTCTCACTTATCAGTAAGCTACTAAGCTATCTGTGTGACGATATGTGGATGTGTCATTTGCTTTCTTCCGTGGTCCTTTCTTTGACCTTTCTCTTTCTCTTGCCTCTGTCAGGTTTGGTTTCCTCCTCCTCCTCTTCTTTACCTCTTTGCCTTTTGGCTCGCAGTGCGTGCAAGTGGGTCCTTGTGACGCACGGGGATGGGGGCAGCCAGCGCTCAACCTGTCATCCACGTGGCTGGCCTTGTACGTAAGAGGTGATGAACAGGTGGGGCTTTCCTTCCTTCTTTTTTTTTTTCCCCTTCGCGCTCTGATGCACAGTGTGACAATATATATAAATAATGTGGGTGAGTGATAGTCTACTTTGATTTTGGTTAAGGTAGATTATCATTTACAGTGTAATCAGTGAGGGGATTCTGCAGACTGTTGAGGGTTCAGCCTCCTGATGAGTCGGTGAAACTCCGACGAAACAGTTCGTCACAGCCCCTCGTTTGTTGTCCTCTTCTCTCTCTCTGCCTACGGTTTACCGGGCAGTTCTGTTTGTGACGATATATACATAATACATATATATATTATTTATACTTCGGTTATGGTAGAAAATATTTCTCCATAGTTAGAGAATTAGGGTGGATTACGGTGGTCTAAGTTAGGAATTAAGGTAGAATGCAGAATTTGGAGAATTGGGTCAAGATCGAAAGCCTGTCTATAAGCGAAACCGGCTGATGCTGCCGGGATAACCCCAGGTTGAATTGTGAGGTCCCCGGCCTCCTGAAGTGAATGTTTTTGGGAATATAAAGTGAATTCATAAAAAAAAATTAATAATAATATAAAAAAAATTCTCGATTTTCTTGTCAGTGCACGCAAGAGTTCATTTAATATGTCGAAAATAGCCTGAATCATCGTCCTATCATCCCACATTTCTTGTGTTGCTCATTCTTCCCCGTTGCTGCTGGGGTGTTTCGTTTTGCGGGCCTACTGTATGGTTCCCTTTTTTTTTTTTTTTTTTTTTGACTATGGATATGGTAGATTTGTTGTGGTGTGGCAACCTTGTCTGCTGCATCCCCGTTGGTTTTGTCCCGTTGTTGTTCGGTCTATTTCACGAGCGTAGCGGTGCTTCATGTGGGACCAGTCATCCGGTTTTTTTTTATTATTATTGTCTTGGCATCCTGGTTGGTTGGTTGAACTTGTTTCCCGTTAAAAAAAAAAAAACCTTGTTTCCCGTTGTTCGGGGTGCATGGGGGCGGTGCTTTTATGTGGGAATCGTCATCCGGGATTGCGTTTTATACCGGTCCTCCTGGTTCTTTTTGGTATGATCCTAGTTGGTTGCTTCCCGTTGTTCGGCCTATCAATGGGGGCGGTGCTTTTATGTGGGAATCATCATCTAGGATTGTTTTTTTATGATGTCCCGGTACGAATTGCTTACGATGACGCCGAATAGGAATGTCGAACAAGGCCATCTGCTGTGTATAGATATGTATCTGGGACCTTTTTTGATTTCTATGCAGACAAGAATGTTTTGACATCCTGGTTGGTCTTGTCCCGTCGTTTGGCCTGTGTAGGACTGGGGCGGTGCTTGCATGGGGGACTTGTCATCTGGGATCTGTTTTGTTGCCCCCTGTTCTGTTTTATTTGGCTGTTCCCTTCCTCTTTTCTTTGCCTCTTTGCCTTTTGGCTGCGTGCAAGTGGGTCGATATGACAGACGGGGGTGGGGACAGCCGCCGCTCAACCTACATCCACGTGGGCGGCCTTGTACGCAAGAGATTCTGAACAGGGGGAGTTGTAAGGAAGAAGATAAAAAATGAATTAAGTTTTTCTTGTCTTCCTTGTTTTCTTCCGTTTTTCGCTTCGGCGCTCTGACATCATGTGACAGTATATATATATATATTTAGGCGCTCTGATATCATGTGACAATATATATATGTATATGTTTGTGACGATATATATATACATATAGTCAAACAGAGCTGCCCGGTAAACCGTAGGCAGAGAAGTCGAGAGGACAACAGAAACTCCGACGAAACAGTTTGTCACAGCCCCTCTCGTTTGTTGTCCTCTTCTCCCTTACTACGGTTTAGCGGGCAGCTCTGTTTGACTATACATACATACATACATACATACAGCTCTGTTTGACTATACATACATACATACATACGTACGATATATAGATATACATGAACGATATATATTCAGCGTCCTGCCTACGGCTTACCTGGCAGTCTGTTGAATCTTTCGTCTGGTGTGGTTCAGTGATAGCCTGCTTTGATTTTTGTTGCAGTTACCATTGAGGGCAGTGTTTGGTGGTCCCCACCACCACCTCAGGGTCACAGTTCTTGCAATGGCCAGTCGTCGTTTCTTGACCTCAACCGGGGATATGGTGGATTATCATCATACTCCACGGGGGTTTCATCGTATTAGGGAACTCTGCAGCGTCGTGTGCAGACTGTAATGGGCTCAGCCTCCTGACTATAGCTAGTCGGTCTCCACTCCCAATAAACATTCCGTCACTGATCTGATTGCTCAAGCTGTGCGTCACGGCTATAATGGCGTTTTGTCTCCATTGGTTTTGGAGCAGCTAGATAGGCTGTTCAACATCATGATGGTTATTATTAGTAATTTATTACTACTATTTTAAAACCTGCAATCATTATCATAATGCGCGGTCGGGATAAAAGGTTCAGTCTCCTCATTGATCTTGTTGTCGGGACGTCGCGTTTTGAGCTATCCCGTCTTGAAGTTCCCGCGAATACAACAACGTACGGTCATTATAGCTGTATTTAGACTGAAAGATACCCCAAATTCAGGTATATTGCCCGGACGTTTTATTCGGGAAAGACGTTAGATAGGCTTTTCAACACGGTTATTATTATTTTTCTAAAACCTATCATCGGGATCGGGATAGAAGGTTCAACCCTCTGATTGGTCGGTCAAAGTCCCGACGAACAGTCCCGTCACAGATCGCTCAAGCTGTGCTCCGACGACTATGGCATCTTGCCTTTGTCGGGTTTAAATTTGTGCTAGATGCGCTGTTCAGCATGATGATGATGATGATGATGATGATGATTACTGTTTAGAGTTTTGAGCTAGGATAGGCTGTTCAACATGAATGAATTAGTTCTTTTTTCTTATCAGGTATTTTTAAAGCCTATCGTGGCGGTCGGGATATAATCCTCCGCCTGTGTCTTCTCCGTTCCTCGTTAAATTTCTTTTTTGCACCCTTGTCTTCGTTGTATCTTACCCATTTGCTTGGGACTCTTTCTTGAGGCCAGGGGTGCCGTGGGGGAAGACGTACTGATCTGATCTCATCCGTTGATTCCATTTGCTCCATCTGCTTCTTCTGTGTGGGTCTGACGCTGACGGATATGATCATGATGATTTGTTGGTTCTTCTTCGTTTTTCGGGCTGTGTGACGCCTGTCACACGCCTGTCACACACACTGTGAACAGTGTGAAGGCAATTCGGAAGTTGCACTGAATGTGACATTGAACCTGGACTTGCAATGGTTGTCTGTCGTCATGTAGGGATTTTCTATTTAGTTAATTAAAAAAGAAATGCGAATATAAGAAGAACTGAAATTCAGTTTTTGACTCATGGACTTCATCTGTCGGTAATCTGAGGCCGGAAACGACAGATGGCTGCACATCCGTCCGAATCGTTGTGAATGTGGCTGGCTTTATTGGCAGGATGCAGGATAGGATTGGGAATGTCGACTATTTACTTATGGATGGTCGAATATAAAAAGATGTGAAATTCAGTTTTGAGTCTTTTGACTCATGGACAATTCATCATCTGTTGGTAATCTGAGGCCAGAAAAGGAACCTGGCTCCTCATCCGTCCGAATCGTTGTGTATGTGGCTGGCTTTATTGGCAGGATGCAGGGTATGATTGGGAAAGTCAATGTGGACCATCGACGGAGTGACCGGGATGAAATCTTTCGTCATCGGAAGGTCAGGAGGACGGAGGGACTGACAATTTGGCAGAGCGCATGTGGAGGGGCACATGTGAAATTTGCGTGCACATGCAGAGGGGCAGCTGAGAGAGATCTGATTGGCAATGCACACGTGGAGCGGAGCAGAATCTGATGGGTTGGGTTGATGATCTTATTGGCGCACCTGTCTCTACAGTCCACGTGGTTTTCTTTTCTTCTCCTTCTTCTTCTTCTTCTTCTTTTTTTTTTTTTTTTTTAATACGTGGTTTTCTTCGCCAGGTTTAAAAAGTGCCAAAAAAACAGAAAAAGAGCAGCAAACATGGGTGATCAGGGTCCAATGGCTTCCGCGTCGACTCTGGATTTTATTGTGGGAGTTGAGGAATATCTAGACGAGGCAGGATTCGACCCAATTACGAGCAGAAAATACGTAAATGAACTCGTCATGGTAAGTGAAACGAGGTCTTTGTCAGCCTGAGGACGAATTTGGATGTAAAAATCATGTAATGCCTTTTTTTTTTTTTTTTTTTTTTTTT